AGGCTCTCCATATTTCATTAAAATAACTCCCACATTGGCAGATATATGTCGTATAAAGTCAACTGGTAGTTCGAAAATCTTTATATTAGGTATATGGGAGCTAACCCGATTCAACCCATTCACAAGGGTATAATATCATCAAAGATACATTTTTCCCCATTTTTAATAGTATACCGCACTGATTTACAGATATTTTCGGTACAACGTAATAGAGGACCTTTAGAATAATGTCCTTCATGTATCGAATTTGATTTAAATCGATCGTGTAGGTCCTGAGATATAGATTTTCCCTAAATGTGGGCGGTGCCACACCCATCGTCCAAATTTGAGACCGGCTCCTATAAATTTCTCCTGTACCATCTCAGATGGGTGTAAAATGTATGTCTCTAAGCATTTAGTTATTGATCTATCGTAAATTTTAGTAGTTTAAAAAAAAGTTATATGGGGAGAGGGCCCGATTTTATCGATTTTCACACTGTCGATTGAAGTTATTAAGGTGTTCGTCCTAAACGAATTTAGGTGATATAGCTTCAATGGTTTGGGAGATATATACATTAAACTTATTACTTTCCAAAAAATTGTATCCCACAGGTGTGGCTTTCTCCTAGTAAACACTCAAGCAAATTTGAAAAATGAAGTTTTGAGAAAAACGCGCTTAAAGATAAACTGATAGAGTTTGTTGAACTGAGCAGTTACTAGGATGTAACTCTATTTGATTTTCCAATTTTAGTATGTTATTTTTATAGGTATAACCCGTTGAAAATTTTAAAATATTCGCTGAAAAGCATCAATTTTATTACACCAAATCCAATAGACTTTTAAAAAGTATCAAGATTGAACGCACCAAGAAATCTTTAAAATAATTAGTGTAAGGAGATCAATTTTTACAGTTAATCATTTTGTAAAATCACAGTTCATACTTAAAAAAATGAATAACTTTTCCCATAACAGTACGTTACCGGAATTGACCCGGACCATAGGGAGGTGGATAGGGAGTGGACCACAAGTTACGTGACTCCATACTGCCAACGCACAAAAGCGTCATTAACGTCTATGGCTGTGGAACCAGCACCCAGTTCGTGTGCGCTTGCTTCGCCTTGTGGGTTCTACAGGCGTAATTTACCTCAACACGTCTACTACAATAACTGCAATGGCCTCTAGGAAAAGATCGAGGAGATAATCAATTTTATGAGCCGGGAACGCGTATCGATAGGTGCGGTCTAAGAAATTAAGTTAAACAGCCGCTCAGATCTTCCAAGTCGTGCAGGTTTCAACGTAATACGTAAAGAACCGAAGCGATATAGTGGTAGTGGACTAGCCTTCATACTGCACGACACCGTGCAATATCGTCTAATCGATGTGGACATCGACCGCAGGGACACTATCCTTGAATGTCAGGATATGGCTGTCAGGCGATGTCGAGCCCGAAATATTTAATATATACATCCCACCAGTTACATGTTGCCCAACAGGATATCACGCGGAACATAGGTGCGCTACTTCGTGGTGAAAACCGTGTGGTACTTGGCGACTTTAAAGCGCACCACGATCTTGGCACTCCTGGCTATCAAATGATCGTTGGGGGGTTGAGCTGGCGGAACAGATAGATGATTCGACTATGACGAATTATGAGCACTTGTTTTAGCTCGCCGGATATTACCATTGCTAGTGGTGGTCTGATAAATTACATAACCTAGCGACCAATGCTAATACTCACATTATACCATCTGCACACAAGTTTTCATCGAGAAACCTCTCGACTTTATTCCTCTGCACCTTCGCCAACTTTAACAAAGCTAACTGGGTCAGCTTCACATAATTTACTGAGAACACCTTCGCCACACTACCCATTCCTACAGACGTAATCGTTGGCGAAATTCAATTCCGCAACCGCTCGCTTCATCCCGGCTGGAAGAATCGCGGACCTCCTCCCCAATTTCCCAGCCAAAGCAGCTTACGCTTTACAAACGAGCGCGACACCATACGCATAAACGGACGAAATGGGTAGATCACCTGAAGTCTTGTAACTTCTTCATCGGTGTGAGTAAGCTTTGGTCTACTGTCGAGGCCTTGTAAAGACATAACCATCGGGTAGAAATTCAATTTGATGGCCATGCCTCCTCGGACACGAAGGAATGCGCGAGCAATTTTAGCCGACAGTTCACACTGCACCCTTCGACAGACAAGGCCACCGTTCCCACGACAGTCGGGTCTACGTAACCGGAATGGACCCGGATTTATTCCGGCCAAGGACTGTCAACTCGGCAAAATTCTGCCGCTACAACAACAACAACAACAGACAAGGCCAAACGATGTGTTTCGGACGGTGAGGACGATCCTCGTATCGTTGGACATGTTAAAAGCTTTTGACACAGTCAATCATACAATGCTACTTGAGGACATAGAACAATCCATGCTCCCTCCAGGGCTGAAGAGGTGGACGGTGAACTACCTGAGCGGTCGGCAATCATCTGTACTGTTTCGAGGTCAAAACTATAAATAAGCAGAAATTAAACAGAGTTCCGCAGGGTGGTATCCTCTCCCCACTTCTGTTTAACTTCTATATTTCGAGGCTCCCTCAACCACGATTGTACGATATTGACGTCGGGCAATGGAGTCGATTGTATGTGTTTAAAAGTAAACAGATATCTGTCCGAGCTTTCTCACTTCTTCTCTGCAAGGTGCTTGACACTCTGCCTCATAAAATTCTGACTGTCAACAACCCTAAGAATTTTGGCGTTGCATTCGATTGCATGTGCTCCTTTACTCCTTATACGACCGCGATAACAGCCAAAGTACAGAGCCACCACAATATCCTCGAGAAAGCTAGCCGGCAGCTCATGGGGACAAGATGAAGAATGTTGTTGGCAACATACAAGGCAATCGGCCGGCCGGTTATAAACTACGCTGCACTGATATGTTGCCTGGATGCTTTCGGTCAAGGAACATAATGAGCTTCTCTCCAAGCAGTTCCTGCATGGAATGTTTTCGCAGAAACCATCCTTGCAGTCGTCTGCTTGAAGCGGAACATCAAGAGGACTTTCCTTGATTACATCAGAGTCAAACCACCACCCATTGCAGACGAAGAGCTCGAGTTGCTACGAGAATCTAGTGTGACCCTTGCCCTACTTCCTTCTGGATACCGTAGCAGGTTAAAGTCCTACTTCTTCATACCAAATATATATCCAGCGTGCAACGATTCCACGCATGACTCTAACTAGCACTTTGCATGCCCAGCAAACCTCACTCATCTAACACCCCTCTCCTTATGATCCGACCCCGTAAAAACTGCACGTTTCCTGAGGCTACCGTTAGATGAATTCGATGAAGCTTAACGTCCAAGCGGGTATTAAATAACCGCTACAACAACAACAACAAGCAATTGCAAATATGAGTACATTCATTACTTGTTCAGCATTAAATCACACTTTACAGATAAGATGTTAAAAATTAGTATCGTAATTTGAACAATGCCTATCATATTACCCCTACAATACAATATTTTTTAATATACACATACATATATACAGATGCACATAGCCTAAATCACATTAAAAAACCAACAAAAAATTTAGTCAATAAGCGCAGCCACTCAGCTGTGTATGGTAATCACTAGAATGCATAGTAAGTATTGTAATTAAGAAATCATGGCGTTTAACTGATCTTACATGTATATCAAGCAAAAATATTAGAAATCATTCTTGTATATCAAATAAATACATACTTATCACTAAATATAATAAAAGAGATTCACCAAACGTTGTCTTAGTATTTATAATCTTCATATACTATATGAGAGCAATACACACCAACCTCTAAATGAAACATTTCTAAAATAAAATGTAAAAAGGTAACAAACAAGTGACTAGTGTCTCCAAAGACTTTAAACTGAAAAACAGATTTTTGTCAATTCTACAGTGTTGACAATAAAATTACCACATAAATAGAGCTATACAAGAGGTTATCGTTGAAACCGTAAATTTCTTTTAAACTTCGATTTCAAGTGCTACCTTGGCAATTTTTATGAATATATGTACATGCCTACAATTCTATCAAGTAGCTTTATATATATGTATGTGTACCATGATACATTTTCATTGCAGTTGGCTTAACTCTGAGTAAGTATGACGACTTTCCCTAGACTACTATAATTTTGTGAGTCATCATAATAAAAATATTTAATTGCATGTTAAATGACAAATAACAAATTTGTATAGATGTGTTGTGCAGGCATACATCTTTTAAATGCAAATCTTTACTTCACTTAAAGTGAAGGTAAAATAAACTTCAGTTTTAAATTGGGTACTATATACGTACATATAACAAACAATTTTATGAATTATATACTATGCTAAGCAGTGTTTTTAAACGTGGACTTTTAAAAAATGAAACCGTGAACAAATAAACAAGGCAAATTTTTAAACACTGGAAAACTCCGCAAAAACAATATCTGCATAATAAGTTAGCCATATATACTATATGTAAAACTGTATAGTATATAGGCAAATTATAGCGTAAAAGCCATAACTCTCAGTAAACTTTGATGATAGGTGATGATTTTTTTTAGTTCGATATTACTGTGTACATTATGCTTTGCTTTTGATTACTATAGTTACAGTTGCAGCTAAAATAAGGAAATAATCAATTATAATTTTTCCGACAAATATTAAGTAGTTGGCTGTTTTTAATGAGTGCTAACTTCGGAGATGTTACTTATTCTTGCTAGATGATTAAGAAACTAGTCAATGAATGTCGGTTGCAGATCTCGCCTAACTTCGCTTCATATCTCAACCAGTATGAACCGCCATTTCCTTTTTTTAGATACCTACGCATTTTTGTTTGCCCACCTGCCTACAACATTTGCACGAAAGTACATTTGCCACCGGCGAGAAAATTGTTGCCCAAAGAAAACAAATTCTGCACCCACACGAACCACGCAGCGTTCAGATAAAATTAAATTCATTCAGCTATATCTATATATGTGTATTTATTAAACTTACCAAATGCCAGAGGCCAATCATAATAGTGGCGGTGTGGACATGCAAACCAAAGCAACACGTCCATTCCTTATTACGCTGTTGTGGACCCATTTTGATGCGGATCCTTAGCATCGAAATGCCTGTATTGGTGAGTTTTTGCTGCTATTTAGTGAGTAACCACTTCAGCTCCTTCTATAATGGTGCACTGATGAAATAAAAAAAACACACACACAAAGGCAAATTTATATCAATGTTATTACTCTTATTTGCCATTGAAAGGGCAACTACATACATAGGTACAAAAACCAATTTCAATTACATGTCGTCAAGGCGCACTAACTTATATACTTTTGACACTTCAATTACCTCTACGATTTTAGTTTACACAACTACAAATAATTACTATAATATTTATTATTTTCAAGTAACAGCAGCAGTGAATGATCACTAATTTTCACCAGCAAAGCAAAAAAAACGCAATACAGAAAAATATACCCACTCTCAAAAAATTTTACAGTGTTGCATAGACCATACGATGCCACCAAAATCAAATTTCATACGTTGCCACTCAGTTATAAATGCTAAAAAATTTACGCTTCTTTACTTTTGCAGTTAGTACAGAATTAATATAAGATAGTTATTTTCAATGCAACAGGCTTTATATATTGTTTATCTTTTATTCCTTTTTTTAAATGGCGAATTCAATTTTAAAAATTTAGTGGTTTTAAACAAAATTTAAAATTATCGATAAATTAGCATTAAGGGCCGTTTTCTTAATGTCTGTCGGTTAACTCAGCCGAAAGAAGGGGTCTTGGTTGAGAAAAAGCCCTACAGTAAAACAACAACGTTTTCACATACACATCGTGCATCTCATAAGACCTTTGCGTATTAAATAGATAAAGGATCACTGTGCACAAGAGTTTCGTTTAGAACTGACAATGGCCATTAAAAACCTCATAGCAACTTTAATGACCGACTCACATAGAAATTTCCTCGCTTTGCTTGACAATTCATTCATACTTTCATAACAAAGCGAAGAAAGCAAAGGGTATGTTAGAACAAATGGCACAGAATGTAAATACTACATTTCTACATTCTCTGCAAATGGTTTGGTTTCTGTGCTTATATCTAATAAAAATGGCAAATGTTGCTGTGCAAAGAAAAAAAGATGAGAGTTGTCCAAAATTTTGCTTCGCTTTGCTGGATTTCGCTTCGATGTGAACGTACTCATACAACAGTATTCATCGAACTTCGTATTCATCAAAACAAACGTCTGAAATACGTTCATTATCGGAAAATTCTCTTTTGGTGTAACTTTGTGCGTTCACATGAGCTAAAAGAGTCCAGCAACTCAAATCGAGTTTTTCTATTATTCTTTTTCATAAATTTTGGGCAAATATTTGTGCGGTTCGGCTACGCGCTATTTAGAGTGTATTACATATTTAATTTTAATGTTGGGATGGTGGCCTCTAATTTTGCTTGCAGGGAATGTGGTAGAACAATGTTCATAATACCGGCTTAATAGTTTCAAAGAAATACTTAAGTCAGGAATTCCCTAATCCACCAGAATATATTGAATACCCGCTACTAATATTTTCAAGGCCAAATTTTTAACAGGAATTTCCTAATTTTTTTGGAAGTATTAAAAATTCATACTTTTTTGACTCCGTATTGTTTTCTATTTATTATAAAACAACCTTGAATTACTTACAATTCCTGTTTTAAATTTCAAAAATTTAGCAGACTGGCATCAATCTCGAGATTTTGTAGTAATTAAAATATAAACATGAATATATTTGAAATATTCTTAAAATAACTAAAAATAACAGTCGAATGCATTTATTTATAAATAGGTAGACTATTTTTAATAGTTGGATTTTAGTTTTGAGCTTTTACATTATGAAAAATTTTAACTAGAAAACTAAATGTGTGAAAAGTCGTGTATACAAATAGAACAATGGCAACATTGGTGAAATGAAAACAACTGATTTCTACGTTGCAACTACGGGCATAACTTTTGACAAATTTGGTTTGATAAGGGCGGTAAGTACGGTAGGGAGGAATCGGTGACTGTTTGAAGCATTATTCACAACAGGAATCTCTTGTAGCGATGTGCAATTAACCCATTATTTAACCGATAGTTGGGTTGCGCATGCTTATTAATCGACTTCATAGCAAGCAACCCCAACAGCTGTTTGACGTTGGTTATAAAATAGCGCTGTGAAATCGCAAATGAACAAATGCGGAAATTCTTCCTAGTTAGAGAAACTGCTGTGTATGAATGTTACACTGAAGAAAGGAAACACAAACCTATTTTGTAACGGAGTTGTAAAGCACATTGATTAGTAAACAGCTTATCCATATAAAGCTGTGAGTGACAAAATGGTCTTATGTAAGGAATATCGCATTTGCATGCCGCTTACAGTGGAGGAGGTAAATAATATGCTCCATTTTTTAGTACCAAGGTTTTTTTTTTAATAAATTAGTAACTTCTATAGTATCGCATTGGACAGCTGTATATGATTGCTCGCCACAGTTTGGAACAATCTGGAGATGGTGAAGGAGTTGAAGTGGTGGAGAGTTATGAATGTGAAGATCCCGTGCATGAAAAGGGACATTACACAGAAAAGCGCATATACCTATCAAGGTGATGGAGTTTAGTGTGTGGTTAGAGTTTGTAAACAGTTCTTTATTTAAAAGTATTAAATAATGAGTTAAATAATTGTTTTAATTTATGTGTTTCCTTTCTATTCACAGTCGTTTACCATATTGGATACAAGCCGTTTGTCCGCGTGTATTTTATGTCACAGAAAAGTCTTGGAATTACTATCCTTTCACAATAACAGGTAATGTTACATAAGTATTAAAGTCTATCCTCATTCATGCTCATGTATTTCATACATTTAGATGGTATTTTTAAAGTACCTTCCGCTTCTGTTACATTTTAGTTAAGACTCATTCATTATTTTAGTTAAGACTCATTCATTATTCTCATATTTCAACGTTTGTTTTTACACACAACTTAATATTAATGAACAGCATTAGCGCTAGTCATTTGCCATGCACTTACAAAAGATTTTACCTTCCAGTAAGTTATTTATAGATGAAGTTTAAAATTACATTCGCCCACCCACTTACTGTGCTAATGTAGCTTGACTAAATGTGTGCGACTTTAAACTTTTTTTTATTTTAATTTAATGTTATGCAAAACAATTTAGTTTTGAAATTTGAGCAGGATAACAACTATCGACCATTACACACTAGCAATTTTCTATATATTATTTATAGATAAAGATGAACAACCAATTATAAACTGTAGCCTTCTGCTGCAATAGGACTACTTCTCTATTAAACTTCCCAGTTAAAAAGGGGGTTTTCCACCAGCCCCTAGGTAAAGTTCCATTGTTTTGTGCAATGCTTTGAGTGATTGTTGATGTTTGGTTTTTTCTCGGCGTTTGGCATTTTACTGAAAATTATAATAATTTCTATATTATTTTTTTAATTTTGAATACATTATTTTGTTTAGAAATATATATTTTTATTTATTAATTGTTTTTACTTCTAACATAACTGAGATATAAACTATCCTATCAATTAAGTAGGATCAAAGTGGACACAGTGTGCCAAATTTTCTAAAATCGGTTCAGTAGTTTGGGTGTTTACCCTGGGCAAAACATGACACATAATTTTTATATATAAAGAATATATATGCACGTGTTACACTTAATATTGCCTAATAGACATTCATGGTTAATTTTTTTTTACTTCATAAATTATACCTTCATGATTTACCCCTTAATATTGACCGATATTATATTACAGCGCTGGCGCCACTCTTACACTTTTTCCTGCCACCTGCTAATCTGTGTGAATTTTTACATAAGCGTGAATCTTAATATACTGTATTGTTGATATGTGTCCATTGATAGATAATACCGTCTGACGCTTGTCTATACATACTTGTATGTATCTCTTAGCGCGTAGGTGCTCTGCCAAGTACATGTAGCCAAGGGCTTATCTCACTCTAATAATCTTTTGAACATGGTTTTTGTCCGATACGCAGCTTTTCGTCAAACCTTTTATAAATATATGTTGATGTGCAGTGTATGTCAAAAAACTTTCAGCAAAGATATTGTATGATATGTATGTATGTATCGAAGGTTTTGCATGAGTAGTACTAAATAATTGATTGTTGAATAAAAGGTCTTGAGGTATTTGATGCAGCACATTGTTATTGAGTCGATTAAGTCTATGTAAATATGTATATCAGTTGCTTGTTAGCCCCAATTCAACTACGCTGACGCTGAGTAACTAACATCATTCTATGTAAATAATTGCCAATGATAGCCTGATTCAGCAGAAGTGAGTTTAAAGGGGTACATATGTTATATACGCTCATGTTGATCATAAATATGAATACCTCAATTGCAGGTTCGTCCAGGACTGAAATTGGTATTTTGTTTTTCATAGATGTGCTATATAATTATTTTTAGAGTTTAATTTCGTCGCAGATTGAAATTTATTGACATCAAAAATGTGGTTGTTCAAGACAATTTTGTTCTTTTCGGAACTGTGTTAAATTTTAGGAAAATTAATTTACTTAGTATTAATGAATTGTATACATCTTAATTTAACATTCAGAAGGAAACGTCGGAAACTCTAAAAAATATACTTGTATATGTATAAATGATCAACATGACGAGCTGAGTCGATTTAACTATGTCCGTCTATCTGAATATTTATGAGAACTAGCATCGCAGTTTTTAAGATATCGATCTGAAATTATGCACACGTCCTTTTCCCCCCAAGAAGCATGGGATCCGCCGATGTCGGACCACTGCGACATATAGCTGGCATACAAACTGAACGATCAAACTCTAGTTTTTGCAGGAAACATTTTTTTATTTGACAAGATATCTTCATGAAATTCGGCATGGATTATTGTCTAAGGCAACGGTACAATCTTCAAAAAAATTGGTCGGACCACTATAGCATATAGCTGCCATACAAACTGACCTATCAAAATCAAGTTCTTGTATGAAATCTTTTGTATATATAGCTTTGGTGCAACCGAAGTTAACGTTTTTTCTTGTTTTTTTTTCTTCTTATTTTGTGCATTTTTTTTGAAATATTCGCTAATTATTTAATTTAATTTACATATAGATCTTATTAAATGTTATTTAGTTTGAATTCGTTTCAATTTTGTTTATATTTAATTTATTTATTATATGTTTTATTTTTTAATTTTAGTATCATTTATTTTATTATATTACTTATACCCAAAATATACGGAAATTTATTAAGAATTTATTGCTAACTTAATTTATTTATGGTTATCTGGTTTATAAATAATGTTATTTACAACATTTAAAATTGTTTATTTTAATTAATCCCACCTCTCTCTTGTTCTATAAATTTGAATATCTCTCCTTGAATCAAACGCTTTTGTTCATTTCATGTACGTGCACCGGTTGTATTCGCTCATGCAAACCGTAGAATATACCGTAAGTACAAACATATTATTTGCTACAAGCAAATTAGTACACAAATAAATTGATTTTGTTATATTTATAGTGCTCCTTCGTACCCAAATTAAGCATAACAATCAAAACTAAATACGAGAATAATAATGGCTGCTCAGAAAACGTAAATATGTTTAAAATAAAGCTATATGTATGAATAAGTATATTCATTCCTAAAACATGTTTTTATAGTGTCTCGCACTCAGCGAAGAGGAATTACAAGCACGCTTATTGGAGGAAGTCGATATTGCATTCGATGAGCTTTCCAATCAGAATCACTATAAAAAAGAGGAAGATCCCAAATTTTTCAAATCTGAGAAAACAGGTATGTTAGTACTAAATATATTTATATAAATATTTGTTATTGTACAAATACTAACCAGGTCGCGGTCCACTCATCGAGGGCTGGCGCAGCATAGATCAGCCTATTATGTGTTCCTACAAACTGGTAAATGCCTCCTTCGAAGTTTGGGGTTTACAAACCAAGGTAGAAGACTTTATACAGCGTAGCATACGCGATGTTCTGTTGTTGGGTCATAGGCAGGCATTTACATGGATTGACGAGTGGTATGGCATGACTTTGGCCGATGTGCGTTCATTTGAAAGACAAAAGCAGGCTGAAACAAATGAGAAATTAAAAGCAACCGGCTAAAATTGATATGTAAAAGCAACACGTGTCTATACTAATGTGGTTTAGTTTCCTAAGAAAGCGCTTAAAACAAAGCAAATTAGAGTTTAAGAAGTGAAAGCAGAAAAGATAAAAAATGTAAGGCGGTTAATATAACCTCGGAGTTATCACAAGATAATGCTAGATAGTGCAAATTTTTGCTTATGGAGCTCGAAAGACATAAAACACATAATTACTCAGGAAATTTGAAAATAAAACAAAATATTACTGATATCTTCCACATTGAATATATTAAGTAAAAATTCATTATTTAATCACATATATCAAATCAGATAATAGTATATTTCGTTACTGTCACACACGCATTTAACTTCGCGATATTTTTTCCAATATTAGTTTCGAAAGTGAGACAATTTTTTTAAAATTATTTTTGCTCTTTAAATACATAAACTTTCCGAAATATAGGATTATTTTGAAAATATGTTATGTAAGTACATGCTTAGCGCAGAAATAACTTCAGTTTTGAAATAAGTGCTCAAACAAAATGAATTGTTGAATTATTTTGAGCCATTACTGAAATAAACAAAACCAAAATGTTAGTTAGTTTGAATATTATGTACTAGCAAAATAAATGTATGTCCATATATGTCCATATATTATTTTTAGTAAAAGCAACAAATATAAATACATATAAAGAAAATTTAACTTTTACTTTAAAATTAAAATTCTATCATAAGTTACACGTTAAAAAAAAAGAATATAATGCTATGGGCGTCAAAAAATTTTCTCATGGTTAAAATTTTGGGTTTTCCAAATTTATTATTTATGATAAAAAAAAAACCAAATTGGTAGTATAATTTTCGTGAGAAATTTATGTTTCCATATCTTTAAAATTAATCTCATGTACCTACATAAGGAGATTAAAGCCACCTTTTGCTTTCTTCTAAGTTCTCTGGTCTAAGATTCTAACTGTTTCATACAAATTTGATAAATACAAAATGCTTTTGCATACTCTTAGCCGATATGTGATAATTTTGAAGAAAATTGGGATTTCAATCTCCGAAATATCGTCTTTTTAGTGTTATATATTCTTACAAATATTATATATACTGTCGTGATGATCTAAAAGCCTCATGCTACTAAGAATTGAATAAATATGAATAGTTTATATTGGTAAAGCTAGTTTTAGGAGAATTCCTTTACCGGTCATCCGCAGTATTTGGGCAAAAAGTACTTGTACTCAGGTCTACAGTTATCCTACCTGAGGTGTCCTCTCGCGTGATTTCCTAACACCATTTGGAAAATGTTTAAGTAAATCCTAGTTTTATGTTTTTATTTTTCAATTTTCGCAACATGTAATAGAAATTTGTTTTTATTTTATCTCATGTTTCTATATAAAAAATGATATATAAAAAAATATACTTTTAAAAAATATAATATTTCAGTTTTATTTATTTAATTTTGATCTAATATTGTTTTTCCCTATTTTTTCCGAATTTTCATTTTTTTAAATTATTATTTGTTGTTTTATCTAATTTCATGCATTTAAAATACCTTTAGATACTTTATTTTTCTAATGATTGTGTAATTTTCAAACTGTTTTTGATTCAATTTTTTAATTATTTATTAGTATTTTTTTTTACTTGTACAAAGCTGCTTGTTGTGTTATACCAATTATTTTACATATAAATATTTATGATTCCAGTTGAATTTTTTCTCAGAGCCTATTGAACAAACAATGCATATACTCACACAAATTATACAAATGTTATTTATTAACCTGCATTTCACTTGCAACTTCACTTTGCGGAATTAATACTCAATGTGAAATGTAGAAGGTGTTAATAAAAAACGAGGATACACTGTGCGAAAAAATACGCATAAAAACATAAAGAGCGTACAAGAATGGACGTACAAAGAGAGGCATTAAATATAATTATATAGTACAATTTCGTTGACTCGTAAAAAAGCTAAAAATCTCTGTTGTCGCTTGTCAAACAAAAAAGAAATGACTGTTACAAAAAAATCTACCACTTCCACAACGGCTTCGAATTTTAAGGTAACATTTAGAAAAACTACCAAAACTCAGGTCGTCGAAAAAGGAAATAAAAGAACCGTTCTCAACGGTGATAAATAATATAAAAAAAATTATGGTTTTAAGCTACAAATATCAATTAAATCTCTCCAAAACTCCGTACAAACTGTTGAATAAAAAGTCAAAACTGTAAGCTTGTCACAAATATATTTAAGAAACAATCAGAAAATCTACACTAAAATTTCTTTATTCTTATAATTTCCAAAATAACAGTCATAAGGTCTTTGGCTGTTGAATAACAAGCCGAAGTTATCATTTTTTTAGACATAATCGTATGCTCTGAATGCACAAACTCGTAAAAGCGCTGTCATTTATCGATGCACTTCCCTACAAATTAGTACACGGTGCCGTGCTGTAATATCTAGCAGATAATCACAAAAATCATACGCGTCGGCGTCAATGTCATTATCATTACGGTTACGTGAGCAGCGCGGCAGCCTACACGCTCCGCTGCGATAAAGTGTTCGGAAATAACACCATGACGCTTAGCTTACCGCATCAGTAAAATTTTGACCGCGCGTACGTAGCGTACACGGTAACAAGCTGCCGGCCTGCGCTAGCCGCTTGTTTTGGCACACTTTACGCATTCATATTTCAGCGTTCATAAGGCGCGTGTCGGTTTTGTAATTCAGTACTCATTGGGAAATTATCAAAATTTTTGACGGTAAATCTCTTTGCTTCGACGCGTCGCTCGCGTTTATTAATTTCGTTTGCTTATAGTTGAGTGCAATTTGTGATTAATTTATTACCGTTTGCTATGATTTCCGCCGCCTGAGAATTTCGTCAATAAAATAGTGGTCCAATTGCCAGATATTTCTTGTTAGCGGAACGCGCAATACCGTCAGTGTAAGAACTTGAGTATTTCAAAATAAGAAATGCCTCCAAAGGCGCCCTCAGCCGAGTCTAGGCTCTCATCATTGTTTGTGATTTGCTTTCAAATCCGGCCGCTGCTGCCGCTCATGTTTTTTGCGCTTTTCGGTGTTTCTTTACGGTGGGGGCCAACTTTGTTTTGTTTTATTTGAATTGTTTTTTAATGTGTGTATTCCAAACCAAAATTTTGTGTGTAGCAGCGACAACGGAAAAATATCTAAAAAACAAGTAAGGAAGTTCTAAGTTCGGGTGTAACCGAACATTTTATACTCCCGCATTTGCAAGGATCAAAGCCCGAGAAATTACTTCAGGAAGGAATAGTTTTAGCGGTTTAGGAGATATGCACTTTAAATCTATTAGGGGGCGGGACCACGCCCATTTGTTAACTGCAGACGCCCTTCCCTAATGTGATACAGGACAAATGTTCGTTATTGAAAATCATGCAGGTTTAATCATAAGCATTTTAATTGCTTGAAAACCCGAAATAATATTTCTAATTCATTTTAACTGACAAAAATATTGATAATATAACCTTATTTCGTATATTTTAGTATTCCATTTCTATATTTCTGTTCATTATATGGTAAATGCGTATTCAGTAGAAGTTTTTTTGTAACTAAACTAAACTGGATAATTATGAAAAATATCTATCAAACTTCAGTCAGATATCTACATATATGTACATATTTATATATAAAAAAAACTATGTGTCACGTTTTCTCCGGGGTAAACTCCTAAACTACTGAACGGATTCTAATAAAAATTTAGCACACTAATTCGTAAAAAATATTATCAGTGTATTAAATAATTGATTATAATCGTATTTAATGTATACCATAGCCACAGTAACGCGTGGCAGGATCTACTAGTTATTATATATTTCTAAAATCGACTCCACACTCGTTGCAGTTTATCCCGAAATAATATTTGATGAACTGTTGTTATTTAACAGCCGAAAACATTCTCCAAATAATTTGGGGCAATGATGCCGAATTAAAAGTTCTTAGCCTTTTGTTTGAAGATTAGCGCATTGTTGCGCTTATTTGTGTTGGTCTATAATTATTGGCTTTTCCGTAGTACCAAATTCAATTCTGATAATTCTTTTTTCATTCATTTTTAATCGGTGCCTAAATCAAAAATAAAACACATTAAAAATTTAAGCAGTCTGCACACTACATTTGGACTCGGGGTCTTATAATGATATCAGAGCAAACACAATTATATGCTCCAACGGAACTACTGATAAATGTAAAACTTTGAAGTGTATGTTCAGTAATGAAACGCCGTAAGGACACAACGGTTATAGTCTTTATCTAATAATGCTAGTAATATTAAACACAACATTGGCTTTTATAATGTATTGAAAGAATTCTGAGATGAGTGTCTGTCATCAAGTAATAAATGACACGTGGTCGATTATATAAATATGAATATACATATGTTTGTACAAATATTTGATACTCTTTGTTTGAATATATACTTAACGACCCAGGTGTTTTCATGCTAAAGCAACAAAAACAGAAATGCTGTACACGAAATACTCTACTACTTTAAACTTGAAACTAATTTCATGCAAACACTAATGCAATATATTCTTGCATATATTCCATAAGTAGTCCAGTACTACCAGATGTTTTTAGTAAGTTAAAATTTCCTTAGTTTTGAATATATTAATGACAAGAAGAAAACTTATAATCAATCAACCAATCGGAGGTAGTAATCAGGTAGTTATCAATATAATATCTCTCAAAATAATATGGGTCTAATACTACCCCAAGATTTCCAGCTACGATAACAACTGCCGCTCGCTCGGAAATCTGTGGAATCGTCATAATTCTAATAATAATTTAAAAGGGTCAGTATTTGCCGTGGTCTCTTTGAAATAAAGGTCAAGTACGATTATGTTAATTCGAGTTTGGTTTTATATCTCTGGCTTTTTTTTTAATGTTTCTAGGAAAAGTATTTTACTTTTAATATAGACCTTTTTAAATTTAATAAACACTTACGTAAGGTATTAAAATAACTACCCTAGTATAGTTCCAATAATACTCTAATTTGCTATTCTAAACGGGCAATACTACACTTACGCTGCATAAAGTCTAGTCCGCAGTCCGTAACCTTTCCGGCGTATAAAAGCCCTAAAGTTGCATAAAGTTTCATTCGAAATTTGCCAAATGAACATTTTTTCTCGATTACACTCCAAAGTAGCTGTCCTCGTTAGATTCATTTCAAGTAGTTTTAATGTGCGTTTTGCTAATTTTATTCAAACTGGAAGTAGATTCCAAAAAAAATTTAATGACATGAACTACGATCCAAATTAGCGCTGAAGAGTCATAACTGATGCTTGAAGTTAGTCAAAAGCAAGCATTAATTCGATATACATAAGTATCTTAACTTGATGTGTGTATGCGGACAGTATCTCAGCTACGTCTGAGTCAACATCCGTGGAAAGGGAAAAATATCTCCTATTTTTTAAGATAGAAACATTTCAGAATGCTTTTACAAATTGGCTAAACGCCACTCAGCTCAGATGGTCAACAGAAACTCAAAAAATTATTGTTTGACGTTACGTACATTTACATACTTGTATATGTATATGTACAAGCAAGTAAATGTGTATATACTATAATTTTAAATAAATGAATGGTTCATTTCATGCTACCTGTATCGTATTCGCATTCACGACAACACATAAAGAACAATAAACAAGTAAGGAAGTTATAAGTTCGGGTGTAACCGAAAATTTGATACTCTCACAACTTCCAAGGATCAAAGCCCGGGAAATTACTTCAGGTGTTGGCAAAATTTTATATTATACGATGTCTTTGTCCGATTCAACCCATTTTTGACACAAAGACATACTATTATCAAGAGTTTCATTTATTTATTTTATTATATGAATTTCAATTATATATCTTACACATTGACTGATATTTTCGGTAAAAAGTCAACTATATGCACTGGGGTCCACATATTCAGTACCTAGGGGCTTGATCAGTTTTGGTTCGATTTAGACAATTTTTAGTCACAAGGTGGCATACCTTAAACGCATTATTCACGCAAAGTTTTACCCCGATACAAACATTGTTGCTTAATTTGCATAGTGGAAAGTGAAAGAATCAGATGTAAGGATGTATTCTTTGAAATGATCAATTTTAAAATTATTGGAGCAAAATCTTGAATTTTGATTACTCTCTGCGTCGGAATAGACAACCCAAAGCTTTTTTAAACTTTCATGTTTGGGAAAGCTTAAGAAACTTAAGAGGAAAAAGTAGTTTTGTGATATACTGATACAAAAACAGTGTCATTAATATCCTATTATCCAAAATTTTACATTATGGTATTTAAATTTTATTTTTATTTTTTAAATTTGATATTTGAATTTCTTCATATCACTCACACGAATTTTGTCCACATCTTTGTTAACAAGAACCCACTGTACACTTTATCCTCGTTTCGAATTTTTATAAGTAATTTTTGCAAAATTTAAGGGTTTACCACTTCAGAAACGCACTTGTTCTTATAAAAAAATGCGTAGAAATCGACTTTCTTCGTTCGTTTTTTATAAACAATGCGCTCCCGCTACGAATTTACAAATTTTATAACGGATATGACTTATTTAAACATTTTATTCTTTCAATTGCTATCAGGCAATTAGAGCTGCTATGTGTATACATTTTTTGTGAAAAATTAAAACTTGATTTTAGGTTGAAATATTTTTGAAGAATAAAATAAGTTTTATAAATGCAAAACTACTTCATAACATATCTGATACAAATTGTTAGTAATTGCGAGAAATAACCATCATAACTATGTGGTTACATTTTTTTCGAAATTGCACAGGCACCGCAGAGTGGAAGCTGACCGAAGGCGAGGGTAATGCTGATCAATGCGAGAAAACAGTTTTGAAGCGTTTTTCGCCGCCGACTCGCACCTAAATGATGCATATAATATTCGAGTATTGCGTTTCGTATTTATCGAATAATAAATCGGTAATTAAATGCTTCAGAAACATAAAATTTTATACCCGATATGGTACAAGACGACTTTATAGAAGCCGGTGTCAAATTTATATGATGGGCGTGGCACCGTCTACCTTCAGTGGACAATCCATATCTCGGGACCTATTCGACCGAATTCAACCAAATTCGGTATGTAATTTACCCTGACATTCCTACATTACAGTGTGAAAATAGACGAAATCAACCAAAAACCATGCATACTTCACATATAATACAATTTTAAATTCCATCTTATTCTTTCACTTTCCAGTACACAAATCAAGAACCAATAAATTTATCCGGATAAACTTTGTACAAATAGTGCCCTCAAGGTATTGTTAAAATCGGACAATAACTGTTCAAGAACACCAGACGGGGAAAATGTGCTTTGATAATAATATACCCTTGTGTCAAAAATGGGTTAAATCGGGTCAATAATTTCCTTAGCCTCCATATACCTAATAGAAAGATTTTTGAACTTTCAGTTCCACATATATCGGCCAATGTGGAAGTTATTTTAATGAAATATAGAGAGCGTGTTTTTCTAATATTAGTATGCCCTTGTGCCTAAATTGGGCGGAAACTTGTCTTAGCCCCAATACAACTGATATTCACGATTTTGAAACGTCCGGCTGACTTTACTTCATATATGTATATGTTTATATTTATAAATTTGCTTGAAAAGAAGTTCTCAAGTATACCTGAGCAATGTCTAAAGCTAATGTAATCAGCCGTTCCGTTTCTCTGTCCCCAATGATTTCAGTATAATTTTCGCTAACTGAGTAAAATATAGCAAGAAAACAAACTAAGAAGGGCGATAACCTTCAAAATATTGTAAGCTAATAAGATACCAAATATGATTGCAATCCATTCACAAACTCTTCAAATGAGGGTTGAATTCTTACGCAAAATTTTCAATTTCCGAAAAGTATATAAAATTTTGTCTTGCCTTTGAACTCCGCAAATTACTCGGATATAAAATCTTCCTGACTTGTCTTTCTATCGTATTTTACTTAAACTGGTGTGAGTATCTCACGGTGATCTACTAGCAATAAAGTGAGTATCTTACGGTAAATAAAATTTCTTAAGGAATCATGAACTGAAATTTATGCTTATGTGGGTATATAGTTGGTTATAAATTAATTTGTATGCACACATTACTTAGATAACACTAATACGTATTAATAAAATTGCTATAAACATAATTGGTGCAAGGTCACTCAAGCT